TCATTTAATAGGAAGATGAGGAGGCGAAACACGTTAAGGGAAGAGGAATGAGAGCGAGGGAAGAGTAGGACAGAAAAAGAAAAAGAAGATAAGAGAGGGAACCGGAGAAGAAAAAGAAGCAAAACAGGAAGAAGAAGAAGCAGAAGAGGGGAAAAATAATGAAAGTCGTAAAAGTGCTTGGCATGCTTCAATCAACAGAGACCAGAGCCCAGATAAAGCTCGACTCAGCCGCATTTACGAATTCAATTCGCCTCTCATCCGTAACCAAAACAAAGGCTTCCCGCCCTTTTATCTAACGACTCTCTTGATAATGACATACTCCAATAACCGCAGAAAGGAATCAATAACTACCAAAGAGACCTGCAATATGTTTCATGTTTTCCTAATGTTTTTTTGTTTTGTTTTCATTAACCTACTTCAGCTCCTTTCAAAGCTCACAACAGTCTACTAAGACCCAGGAGAACTGCCCCTATGCCTAGTACGTCGAACCTGGGTTCTTTCGGTTGTAAGAAAAGCGCTCTACAACTGAACTACGACGATGTTAGGTCTTGAGATTCGAGTCAGAAAGTGTAACTTCTGGTCAAAGACACTAACTTTTTTTTATTTCGAGCATACCTTACTAAAATTTTAAGATAATGTTTTTGTAATTTGTGTATGTGACCTAATTCATTTCTCATGTGTAACCTAATTTATCTCTCATTGTGTGTGACCTAATTCAATTTATCTCTCATTGTGTGTGTGACCTAATTCATCTCTCATGTGTTACCTAATTTATCTCTCATTGTGTGTGTGACCTAATTCATCTCTCATGTGTTACCTAATTTATCTCTCATTGTGTATGTGACCTAATTCATCTCTCATGTGTTACCTAATTTATCTCTCATTGTGTCTGTGACCTAATTCATCTCTGTGTGTTACCTAATTCATCTCTCATGTGTGACCTAATTCATCTCTCATTGTGTGTGTGACCTAATTCATCTCTCATATGTGTTACCTAATTCATCTCTCATCATGTGTGACCTAATTCATCTCTCATTGTGTGTGTGACCTAATTCATCTCTCATATGTGTTACCTAATTCATCTCTCATCATGTGTGACCTAATTCATCTCTCATTGTGTGACCTAATTCATCTCTCATTGTGTGTGACCTAATTCCTCTCTCTCATGTGTGACCTAATTCATCTCTCATTGTGTGTGACCTAATTCATCTCATGTGTGACCTAATTCATCTCTCATTGTGTGTGTGACCTAATTCATCTCTCATATGTGTTACCTAATTCATCTCTCATCATGTGTGACCTAATTCATCTCTCATTGTGTGTGTGACCTAATTCATCTCTCATATGTTACCTAATTCATCTCTCATCATGTGTGACCTAATTCATCTATCATTGTGTGTGTGACTTAATTGATCTCATTGTGTGTGTGACCTAATTCATCTCTCATTATGTGTGTGACCTAATTCATCTCTCATTGTGTGTGACCTAATTCATCTCTCATTGTGTGTGTGACCTAATTCATCTCTCATATGTGTGACCTAATTCATCTCTCATTGTGTGTGTGACCTAATTCATTTCTCATGTGTGGGACCTAATTCATCTCTCATGTGTGTGACCTAATTCATAACTTATTACGATTATAACCAGATATAAACGTGTATTTATTTAATTACCACTGTAACTTGTTTAGCTATCAGAGCTGTGCGGTTCAGTCCCTAGGGCCTAGACCCATTATGTGCCGCTGTAATCTTTTGACTACCTCCCGCAGGATGAGTATGGGCTGCAGAATATAGATATTAAACTAACTGTTCACTTGCCCATACGTCTCGCCTAGCAGGGAAATCGAACCATGGTTCATTCGGCTGTGAGGTGTATCACTGGGCTACACCTCGCCTGCTGATCCATATAAAAAAAAGGTACATTAAAGATCTCGAACATGGTGTGTAAGTTTCATTGATCTAAATGAGAATTGGATCCTCTCGTTCTCCTAATTCGTTGATCAAGAGTCTTTTGATCTCTCTGACACATTTCACACACGCTGGAACACCATCATGAAAGGACAGCTTCTCCACAAGTTTCTCCATCCTCCCCCAAACACACACAGGTTGCAACACTGTGAGGGACATGCACTGTACGTTTCATTTATGAATTATTTGCAATAAGGTTTTCAAAACACCAGAAACTTCTAATCCTTCACTCATCCCACCACCCGACCTCCACCCCTTCTTAAGCATCCCTCACTCACTCCCCTCAGCCTATCACTACCCTCCATCCCTGATCTCCCTCTCTCCCATTCCGGTCATCATCCATTCCTGGCCATCGCTTACTCGCCCCCTCCCATGCCTCCTTCCCTCAACAACCATTCCAAACACCATGGCCAGATTGGCCTCCATTTCTTCCTAACTCATTCCACACCCTTCCCTAGGATTGCCCCTCTCCCAGTCTCTGTGATTCTTACTTCTCCCTGACAACGCTGGGTGTCAGAGGAGTTGTGAAACCTGGCCACCGAGAACCCTAGAGTTTCCAGGGTAGTGAAACCTGGCAATTAAGAACCTTAGACTAAAAGGTAGTGAATCATGGCAATTAAGAACCCTAGAGTTTCCAGAGTAGTGAAACCTGGCAACTAAGAACCCTAAAGCAGGGGTGGGCAACCTTTTGAAGTGTGAGTACCAAAGTCGCCCATATCTTTGATACAAAATCTCTGGAAACATATGGGGACCATTTCTCCGCTTTTCTTGGAACGGATACATGGTAAATAACGCAGTTTTTTTTTGTTGTTTTTTGAAGATGAGACCAGAGGTTAGCCTGCCGGAAAGAAGTCGTTGGCGTGCCAGGTTTGGCACGTGTGCTAAGCGTTGCCCACCCCTGCCCTAGAGTGTCCAGGGCAGCGAAACCTAGCAGCAAGATTCATATGAGATGCGTATATTGAAGGCCTGCGATATAATAATAATAATAATAATAATAATAATAATAATAATAATAATAATAATAATAATTATTATTATTATTATTATTATTATTATTATTATTATTATTTCTATTGTTATTATTTCTATTATTATTATTATTATTATTATAAAACAAACGCTAAACCTTCATGAGTCGTGCGTACCTGAGTGTTGATCCTGAGTTTGTTCATGGCGTGGAGTGCGGTGGAGGCGTGGTCAGGCGTGGAGTGGAAGTGATGAGTCTGTGGTTGTGTGGGCGTGCCAGCGGGCGTGCCAACGGGCGTACCCACCTCCATATTCATCGTTCCACACGTGGGTGAACCCGTGGCCATGACCAGACCCAGTTGGGTGGGCGGGGGAGACGTGGTGGTGGCGAGGGGGTGACAGGAGAGAGAGAAGGTGGGGGCTTAGGAGGAGGTAGAAGTACGAGGCAAGGAGGGTGTGAGGTAAGAGTGTTGGGTGAGGTAGGAGGGTGTGGGGTGAGGTAGGAGGGGGTGGGGTGAGGTAGGAGGGTGTGGGGTGAGGTAGGAAGGTGTGTGGTGAGGTAGGAAGGTGTGTGGTGAGGTAGGAAGGTGTGTGGTGAGGTAGGAAGGTGTGTGGTGAGGTAGGAAGGTGTGTGGTGAGGTAGGAAGGTGTGTAGTGAGGTAGGAAGGTGTGTGGTGAGGTAGGAAGGTGTGTGGTGAGGTAGGAAGGTGTGTGGTGAGGTAGGAAGGTCGGGTAAAACTTCAATACTTTAGGCACACTTAAATCACCACTTCAAACCCATTTAAAGCGACTATCATTGCTTATCAGTTAATAAGACACTTATCACTACGTACTTGCTTCTCACTTCCACTTCTAAGGAATGAATATATAAAAAAAAATTATAATTTCGTATTGTACAGACGACTCTCAGGCGCCATTATCAAGCCACAAATTTACGTTCACAAAATACTGCAGCATCACTGTATTTCCTGATCAATCTTCTCGATGTATTTGAGTTACAACCACTTCAGTGTCTCGTTCTCTCGTTCTAAAAGTTCTCATTCAATCACATCAAGTTTTTCGAAACATTTCAGAAGTCTATGCACCAGTGACAAAAATATATATCATAAAATTTACTACTGAGAGTTGCTAGACACTACTCAAAAATAAAGTTTAATTTATTCCAGTAAAACATTTCTTCTAGGTCATCTAGGAAAATAAAATTTTTACAGTATTTACAAAATAAAAATATAAATTTTTTGTATCTAGAATAATATCAATTAACTCGTCCTTTCTATATTACAAATTTCAGAATGTATAAGATTTTATAATGTTATAAATACATTAATGTCAACTTTATTTACAACAGAGTTTCTACAATTTACATTTTTTTTTATTTCTTATATCTTCTGTTGTGTTTTGAATGTGACGTCAGTGGTACAGGAAGACCACTTCCTCCTCTGATGCTCTTCTGAACCAGCCCTGTAGGAGACACAAGAACACTCAGTAACTAAACTGAATGTGTGTGTGTGTGTGTGTGTATGAGGACTTATATGTACACATAGCTGCTGAAATTAAGCAGAATTATCAGTATCAGATTAGACATTCAACTCTTTTCATATTTCAATAAAATGTGTCGTGAGTGAAGGCTGGACTGAAATACAACAGACACACACACACACCTCGCACACAAACACACACAGACACACAGACACACAGACACACACACACACACACACACACACACACACACACACACACACACACACACCACACACCTCGCACAAATGTACTATACATGTAGCAATAAACAGAGAGCGCACATACACACAAACAGTTTACACAAGTACACCGAGCAAGTGAACAAAAACACCACACATACAGTCAAGCTTCTATTTCAATGTTTCTTCTAGAGTCTAGACGTCCATAGACGTAACAAAGATGGCCTAGACTCTAGACTATCTTCGTTACGTCTATGGAGGGAGCACCATGATCCCCCCCCCTTCACTTTCTACTTAACAAAGAGTGTATCCCTCGCAATTAATGCACTAAGACTGAACACTTTAGTCTTCAATGACTTTAATAAGTGTCAGAGTCACGTTACATTGTTATAACTTAATTAACGCCTCCTCACCGATGACCTAAATAATGGTGCGCCTTAATTAAGGTACTTCGGGCAAAAGGTTAATTGTGGGTGTAGTAAAGTTATAGCATCCTCGAATGGCTGCAGAAGGAGAGGGAGAGAGACAGAGAGTGAAAGTGAGAGAGTGAAAGTGAGAGAGTGAAAGTGAGAGAGAGAGAGAGAGAGAGAGAGAGAGAGAGAGAGAGAGAGAGAGAGAGAGAGGAGAAGAGAGAGAGAGAGAGAGAGAGAAGAGAAAGAGAAGAGAAGAGAAAGAGAGAGAGAGAGAGAGAGAGAGAGAGAGAGAGAGAGAGAGAGAGAGAGAGAAAGAGAACGGGCAGTGAGTCATTAAGAGACTCAGACAGGCCGGGATAGTCTGCAAAAGGTTCTCGACCTCTGGTGACTCTCGTCACGAGGCACGTGCCTCGTGACGTCAGAGTATTGACTCACCAAGTCCCCCCCCTCATCCTCCTCCCGCACTACCCCTTCCATAACCCTCCCTTCCTGGTTAACCCTCCCCCTCCCTCCCCTACACAGTTGCCAAGTGGGGAATATACGCCTGGCAGAGTGTTGCCAGGTCAGGGTTTGGTCGTTAGCGTCCGTCGACACCTGAACCAGACAAGAGGAGTCTCAGTGCTCACGCAGCTGGTCTGCGGGGAGGTGTTGTCTCTCACCTCCGCTTAACACAACACTAAGCACAACTAGAAAATGAAGCTTGTAACAGTTGTTTGTATGTTCTCCAGCGGGGCGGTTTGTTGAACCAGTCGAGTACTGTAATATAAATAATGTCAAATATTTTACTTCAATGATCCCTAACTTGCATTGAATATTTTAAATCAATTATTGATATATTCAGTTGATTAATTTCTCTATCTATCTCAATTCGTATATACACTATGATGTGACCCCTCATGTTAACAGGTGCTTTGACACCTCAGATCTCTTTATGTAAGGACTTGGAAGTACTCTCCCTTTCCTTGGATCAAACCAGATTATCTTTCACTTCCCAGGCGCTATATGACCTCCCCTACGGGTTTAGGGCTTTCCCCCAAGATTACAAGGCATTCTCCAGCTACCCCCAGGGTTGTCCTGAGGGAAGCCAGACCTGCGAGCTGGCTTCAACTGGTCAACCACACTATTGCTGGCAGTGGTCCAAAGACCTAACTAGCCATCACAGCCTGGTTGATTAGACACTGCTATAGTAGTCGTCCAGTTGTCCTCTTGATAACTTCCTGTCAAGTGACAACTGAGGCGCTTTTGTTATTGTTTTACTTGTTATTCATGTTTTAGTTATAGTTACGGTTTTTTTATTAATTATAGTTACGTTTTTTTTATAAATTATTATTATATTATTGTTACCGGTATTATTCCTGTAATGTTATTGATGGTACTGCTATAATTCACCAATGGTATCAATAGTGTCATTAACCTGTGATATTACACTGCAGTGTTGCAGCACTGCGAATGGTTGAAGGAATCACAGTGAAAGTCAGAGGAGATAGGTTAGCTAAGAGTCTTGAGGAAGCAAGGCAAGTGTTTCCTGTCGCGGGTCTTCGTCTGAGCATCCTGTGGTCGGCTGACCGAGTCTGAGTGAGGTCTTCCACTGGCTTACCGCTCCACCTCCCTTAAAAAAGATAACATATGACAGTCAGTGGAAATATTAGTGTCGTTATATTCTTGCGCCGGGAGAGTGCAAGGCAATCTGGTTTGATCCGCGAAAGGGGGGGATAGCTCCGGTTCCTTTGATCAAGAGCCTATTTTAGGCATCAAGACATTCCTCCCCACTCCCTTGATGTAGGGTGAGTTTTCCTCCCTCCATCTACCTCTCCCTTTTTTTACCCTCCGACTGCCTTTCCATCTCTTGATCTGTCTCCCTCCTCTCGAAATTTCCGTCCCCTCTCTCCTCCATGTTTCTTTTCCTCTTTCCACCTCCTCTTTCCCTCCAACTATCAATCGTCTCATTCCCTTCCCTCCAACTTCGTCTTCCTAGCTCCCTCCCTCTAACATTCTCTCCCCCTCCTCTCTAACTTCGTTTATAGCGTAGGGGACGTCAGTATATGAAGCTTAATATTAAGCCAGCCTGGCTTGCCTTATTCAAGATAACAGTGGAGCCATAACAGTAAGCCAGCCTGGCTTGTCTTATTCAAGATAACAGTGGAACCATAACAGTAAGCCAGCCTGGCTTGTCTTATTCAAGATGACAATGGAACCATAACAGTAAGCCAGCCTGGCGTGTCTTATTCAAGATAACAGTGGAGCCATAACAGTAAGCCAGCCTGGCTTGTCTTATTCAAGATGACAATGGAACCATAACAGTAAGCCAGCCTGGCTTGTCTTATTCAAGATAACAGTGGAGCCATAACAGTAAGCCAGCCTGGCTTGTCTTATTCAAGATAACAGTGTAGCCATAACAGTAAGCCAGCCTGGCTTGTCTTATTCAAGATAACAGTGGAGCCATAACAGTAAGCCAGCCTGGCTTGTCTTATTCAAGATAACAGTGTAGCCATAACAGTAAGCCAGCCTGGCTTGTCTTATTCAAGATAACAGTGGAGCCATAACAGTAAGCCAGCCTGGCTTGTCTTATTCAAGATAACAGTGGAGCCATAACAGTAAGCCAGCCTGGCTTGTCTTATTCAAGATGATAATGGAACCATGACAGTAAGCCAGCCTGGCTTGTCTTATTCAAGATAACAGTGGAGCCATAAAAGTAAGCCAGCCTGGCTTGTCTTATTCAAGATGATAATGGAACCATGACAGTAAGCCAGCCTGGCTTGTCTTATTCAAGATAACAGTGGAGCCATAAAAGTAAGCCAGCCTGGCTTGTCTTATTCAAGATGATAATGGAACCATGACAGTAAGCCAGCCTGGCTTGTCTTATTCAAGATAACAGTGGAGCCATAAAAGTAAGCCAGTCTGGCTTGTCTTATTCAAGATGATAATGGAACCATGACAGTAAGCCAGCCTGGCTTGTCTTATTCAAGATAACAGTGGAGCCATAACAGTAAGCCAGCCTGTCTTGTCTTATTCAAGATGGCAATGGAACCATAACAGTAAGCCAGCCTGGCTTGTCTTATTCAAGATGACAGTGGAGCTATTACAGTAAGCCAGTCTGGTTTGTCATATTCAAGATGACACTGGAACCATAACAGTAAGCCAGCCTGGCTTGTCTTCTTCAAGATAACAGTGGAGCCATAACAGTAAGCCAGCCTGTCTTGTCTTATTCAAGATGGCAATGGAACCATAACAGTAAGCCAGCCTGGCTTGTCTTGTTCAAGATGACAGTGGAGCTATTACAGTAAGCCAGTCTGGTTTGTCATATTCAATATGACAATGGATCCATAACAGTAAGCCAGCCTGGCTTGTCTTATTCAAAGTGAGACTGGAGTCATAATAGTAAGCCAGCCTGGCTTGTCTTACTCAAGGTGGGACTGGAACCATAACAGTAAACCAGTCTGGCTTGTCTTACTCAAGGTGGGACTGGAACCATAACAGTAAACCAGTCTGGCTTGTCTTACTCAAGGTGGGACTGGAACCATAACAGTAAACCAGTCTGGCTTGTCTTACTCAAGGTGAGACTGGAACCATAACAGTAAGCCAGCCTGGCTTGTCTTACTCAAGGTGGGACTGGAACCATAACAGTAAACCAGTCTGGCTTGTCTTACTCAAGGTGGGACTGGAACCATAACAGTAAACCAGTCTGGCTTGTCTTACTCAAGGTGGGACTGGAACCATAACAGTAAACCAGTCTGGCTTGTCTTACTCAAGGTGGGACTGGAACCATAACAGTAAACCAGTCTGGCTTGTCTTACTCAAGGTGGGACTGGAACCATAACAGTAAACCAGTCTGGCTTGTCTTACTCAAGGTGGGACTGGAACCATAACAGTAAACCAGTCTGGCTTGTCTTACTCAAGGTGGGACTGGAACCATAACAGTAAACCAGTCTGGCTTGTCTTACTCAAGGTGGGACTGGAACCATAACAGTAAACCAGTCTGGCTTGTCTTACTCAAGGAGGACTGGAACCATAAACAGGAAACCAGTCTGGCTTGTCTTACTCAAGGTGGGACTGGAACCATAACAGTAAACCAGTCTGGCTTGTCTTACTCAAGGTGGGACTGGAACCATAACAGTAAACCAGTCTGGCTTGTCTTACTCAAGGTGGGACTGGAACCATAACAGTAAACCAGACTGGCTTGTCTTACTCAAGGTGAGACTGGAACCATAACAGTAAACCAGTCTGGCTTGTCTTACTCAAAGTGAGACTGGAACCATAACAGTAAACCAGTCTGGCTTGTCTTACTCAAGGTGAGACTGGAACCATAACAGTAAGCCAGCCTGGCTTGTCTTACTCAAGGTGGGACTGG